CTCTCCGGCTTCCAAAAAAATCCTAATGTCTCTAAAAATTATTCCAAGGGCTGAAAGAATAAAAGTTTTGCTAAAACTCAAAAAATATTTAAAGTAAGTTAAATATATGTGAGCAAAATGTAAAATTCAAAATTAGTTATGCTAATTTTGATTTACTATGAAATGATTACAATGACTAATAGAAATCCTTAAATAGGAATTTTAGAACAGACAAGTCATTCGACTCTTCTGATCAGCTTTTAGTGGAAACCCGTCTAAAGGTATCTGGCCAATGATTTGAATCTGACATGGAGAAAATCCAGTGGAACTTTGGAAAACTGTTTTGGGGCGAAAATCTCGGTTCTTCCAATTATTTATCTACCTGCCTCCAAAGACTGTAAATGCTTTTAACGAAAGATTTGTGGTCATAATTTTAAAAAAATTAATAAAAAAGTTTCTAATGTTTTATAAAACTTTTATTTCTATCTTAGATTGTTTGATATTGGAATTTTTCATTAATTTATTTTTTATTAATTTCATTAATTTTGATAGAACTCAAAGTTTAACATGCAGTCAATTTTTAAATGAAGTTCTCTAAATATTCAAACTTAAATTAAAACATTTGTGAAATAACACATTTTTAACAAATTAAAGCATTCTTTTCCTGTAATATTATGGGGTAAAGTACAGTACGGGAAGCCGGTTACTAGAAGATCATATATTCGACTGAGATTTAGAACACTGAATTATGTAGACAAATCAAAAATTTGTTCCAATTTTTATTTGTCGTCGTTTCAAACTATAAATTTATTATAATTCTTAAATATTCAAATCAGCATAATTCTTTTAAATCGATAAATTTTCTATAAATGAACTCTGGAATGGAAACAAGTTTTTTTAGGTAATAAAAAGAGAACATGCTTGATGATTTTAGCCTAAGCCATATCTAAATCGGAGTCTACTAAATAACTCCGTAAATCATTTTTTCTCATTTACTCTTTACTTTATACTCGTATTTTAATTTTGTTTCTCCTCTCATTTCTTAACTTAGGCAAGTGCCACAATCTGTCCCATTTGCACAGGTGTGATTAGACATATGCTCACATAAAATATCTCCAATAATTTTTCGTTCGGATAAAAGACAATTTTTAATAGCGAAATAAAGGCGAAAATAATGAATTGTGTTGAAATATCGCGTTTTAACGAAATTTTGCCGCCACCACAAATATCATCTGCACAAACACTTCCTGTTGGCTTGTTTAATCATACATTGTCGAATGATTTTCGGCATTTGAAAGGAAGAGACCTGCTTCAGTACATTAAGTTATGAAATTTGTAAAAAATGTCGTTATCATTAAATACAAGGAGTCTGAAATGGAACTGTCATGCTAACAGATTAGAACCATAATTTACTTCCAGTTCTGTTGCAAAACGTCAACTATAGAATGTCACCAAATGATGTGTAGATCTTTAGGTACTAATGCTGTTGTATCATATGACACTGTGAAGGTTTGGTACCGAAAGTTCAAAAACAAGGTCTATCACACTGAAGAAGCAGAGCGCTCTGGCCGACCTACTGATGCTGATGAGGTCCGCCTGCGAGAGCTTGTAGAAGAAGATCAGTAAGCAACCACTCGAGAGCCTGTTAAGAAATTATGTGCTAGTGCCATGTCCATTAGTCGCGCTAAGCATCGCATAAACTTGACGTACAAGTTCAATCACTATGTGCCGCATGAGCTGGCTCAAGCAAAGGACAGACATTTTCGAAGCCTGCACTAATCTGCACAAGGACTAATCTCAAATATCAACACAAGGACAAAATTCTGGACTGGATCGTCACTTGTGATGAACAGTGGATTCACTTCAACAACACAGGCCGAAAAGGGGTTTAGTTTGCACCCAGTGATCCCATCGGCAGCATCGCAAAATGCAATTTGACTAACAAAAAGATCATGCTTTGTATTTGGTGGGATTCCCGTGGTATTATCCACAAAGAGTACCTAGGAAAAGGTGAAACCCTCGACAGTAAGTTGTACAGCGAGATGCTAGTCCGCGTTGACACTGATATAAAGGAAAAATGCCGAACTGAGTTACGGCGAAAAAAGGTAATGTTTCATCAAGATAATGTAATACCACATGTGTCTGAATTCACCGGCTGGACTCTGTACGGACTCGAATGGGATCTTTCGCTACACGCACAATATAGCCCCGACATAGGTCCCTCGGAGTTCTACCTTTTTTCACACCTATAGCTACATCTTGCTACTTTTAATACTATTTTTAAAACAAGTGTTTGCAAATACAGATTTTCATTAACAGTAGACTGATTACACAATACATTACTTGAAATAACAGTACTGTCAGTCTCATTTGGCTTTACAGATTCACTATTAGAGCACATAATGGTATAGTAAAATTTATCACAAGTTAAACATTTTACTTTATTTTTGCATCCCCGTGAACTATTTCCAACTCGTAGCCAGCGAAAACAGGAGCGCTTTGACACCAAAAGCTTTCGTTTATGTTCTAAAGAGATTTTGCGAGCAGAAAAACATTCGGCAGAATTGTGAGATTTCTCACAAAAAATACAACGTAAATTTCGCCTACCTGTATTGTCTCGAAAATTTACCAAGGGAGCAGCTGTAGAGCAACCTGGATCATCAGAATGTGGACGAGAATGCGCATAACATGAAGCTCCTAACCCAGTACGAGCGACCTTAATCATTTCCTCACTTTGCACTTCGTTTCGAAGAAAGCACAAAAGTTTATCCGAAGGACGCGCACTATCTTGCTCTGACGGCTTCTTTCCCACGCACGAAGAATAGTCTATAGTAAACAGGACTCAACAAGTGGCTCTAAAAATTCAGCAAATTTTCCCTTAGTTCTACCGAGGCTTTCGAGTGCCATGAGCTTGCTCTCAAGTAAATCATAAAGTTCAGGTCAGTGGCGTAGCGAGGGGGGCAAGGGGGTGTATGATGCCCCGGGCGCCGTTCGCAGAGGGGCGCCAAACGGTCTGCGAACAAGATTTTCTTCATATCACTGTGTTTTTTTTTTCGGGAGAGGGGGGCAAGGAGGTGTATGATGCCCCGGGCGCTGTTCGTAGAGGGGCGCCAAATGGTCTGCAAACAAGATTTTCATCATATCACTGTGTTTTTTTCGGGAGTGGGGGGACGCCAGTTATGCTCGCTACGCCACTGGTTCAGGTAAATCTCCTTTGATCCGACCAGCAGCATTTTTCATTACTATGGAAAGTAGATCCTCGTACATAAATCTGAACCAAAATTTCATCTGTCCCAAAGCGTTCTTTAAGTTGTGCAATTACCTTTGAATAATTTTCTTTTGTTGGCGGAAAACTTGTTACCAGTCTTGACGCTTTAGAATCTGCTACCACACATTTTATCAGATATTGAAATTTGTCTTCATCCACAATAGAATCATCTTTGTGAATTTTTTCAAACTCTGACCAAAAAGCAAGAAAATCTTTCCGTTCTCTACTAAATTTCCTCAATTCCTGTTTCGGAAGCTTGAATTTCCTTTTTTGCTCGGTTGTTGTTCCTCCCGTAAGCGAATTTGCCTTCTTTGCATTTTCTGACAGCGAACAAAATCAAGCAGAAGTCTCGGTATTCCTCTGCTTTAAAAAAAATCCTCGAAATATTCGTCTTGAAGGGTGGCCATCATCACGTAGCAACAAATTCGAAACTTTTTCTTGTTTCTAAGCGTGTGAATTTGTCCTGAACCTGTTTAAACAACGTACTGACTTCGTCACTTTCTAAACTTTTGTTTTCGATCTTCTGAGCTATATATATATCGTTGCAGCATACCGTAAACGCTGTTCTCAGCAACTTTCGTTTTGCTTTCAAAACTTTGATATCCATATTTCATCAAAAATATAAAATAGCGGAAGCCATATTTACTATTTACGACACTCGAGAATAAAATACGATCTGTGTGTGTATTGCAACTCTCAGGGCTACAACGTGCAGGTTACAAATTAAATAATCATAGCAGGGATTATTAATATAAAGATTTTAATATGAATATCTTACGCAAGCGAAAAACGTTACATTACTCTAACAAGGGCATACATATAACTGAGTGGAAAGGGAATTCCCTGCTTAAAGAAAAAATAAGAATAATAAAAAAATAGTCCAATCAAAAGCGGCGCTCCTTCTCTCGACTTCGCCCAGCCGTTACATAATCGTCTGTCTGAAGCAGCCGTCTCCTACACATGGAGTTTGATCGTGACGCGACAGAGCTATTAAATTTGTTTGAACCAAGAAACTTGACAACATTGATTCTTTCACCATGCGATTGGAAGAAATAGGCCTTTTAGTAGCAGTACTAAATGAAGGGTCGACTATATGGGTGGTTGCTCAGGGCGCTAGGCTTCATGTGACCCGAAATGGCCAGTTAGCTGATATGGTAATAATGTTATATTAAATGGGGCCAAACATGCTTTCAGCCTGATGCTTGAAAATGCCTTTGTCCGGCACTTGATGCGAGGCTAAGCACTGAATATTATTTTCCCAAGAATGTAAATGTCAAATCTTCGAGATAAATTATAGGCTTCGAGATGATTTTCTAAGGAAAAGTAGTTTGCAGCTAACGAATACCAAATAACTTTTTAAATCAAAATTTCATTAAAATTCCGAATGTATTGAGATACGGTAAATTGAAAACAGGAGCAGATTTGTTTGTATATCAGTTTTGGCGTGTCCAGAAATACTTCCTAAACTCAAAATATATCTTGAAAAAGAAAAATCAAATATTTCATTTTGAAAGTTGTGTGTTTCAAAAGTTTTTTTTTTTTTTTTTTTCTTTTTTTTTTTTCTTTTTTTTTTTTTCTTTTTGGGGAAGCGCATTTTAAATACGTCACACATTTGGTGAGAAATGCAGAAATCAAAACTGTTTAAAAATAGCCAAGCTCATTATTACATGGTTTTCTAGGGATTTTAGGGAAAATAAGTTTCTTAGCGAATAAGTTTTACGATCTGGTGACACCGAATGACATGATCATGGCAGTAGTGTTTATAATGTTGTGGTGACGTCCGCATGGTGTTATGTTTTGTAATTAATTTTGAAATTTTACTAATTAAGTTATAACTTATGTGTATTTAGGAGAATGTTAACATAATTAAAAATTTATTTATAATGCGCCAAAGTGTGAAGACCAATAAAATGTTTATTATTCGAGCTTTAGAAAAAATACTCAGCGATCGCGAGATCAAGCGCATTCATCACAGCGAATTGCGGAAAGCTTGCATGGTAGCCTTAGGCAAGTATTTATGCTCTTGTTTCCTAAGAAAAATACAAGAAATATTGGTTGCGGTATTTAGGATTTCGTGCTGTGTTGTACAAACCCTGCATAATAAGGAATCGAATTTACAACTGATTAAAATGTGCCCACACTATCTCATAACCAAAATCAAGATTAGGATTTACCCATGTTTCTCGCGGTTATCCGTCTAAATACATGGATTATAGCCATTATATTCAGAAGTTCTGACAGAAAGTGCTGAAATGTTCCGCTTTGTTGCCAAATTCTTGCTTTGTTAGTATCTTTTAATGTGTTTGCTCTGTGCTAGCAGTTTTGTTTATGCAAAGGAAAGTTGCAGTATCTGTAATATTGAATGTTATGTTTCAGAAAGCTTCCATGTTTAGGTAAGTAATGTGTTATATGATGACATATTTTCGGGCTGTCTGTTAATAACAGTGATGCTGCTTTGGAGTACTTGAATTTGCATCATAATTATTATCACATATGTTGAAATCCTTAAAAATACTGATACTGCAAGCGTATTCAGCCCCTGGGAATTGACCTCATCAAAAGTATTTGTGTTTGGCTTATCTAGTGAAACGCTAGTATACCAAGAATAACATGGCAGTATATGCAAAACATTTCATGAGCATAACGAAACAAGCTAAAACATTCACAGCTAAATCTATGAAGCTGAAAATAAACCAAAAGTTACTTAGTTTTGAAAGTATATAAAGATTCTGAGCAGTTATAAATTCTAAGCATACCGTTAATCTGAATAATATTTGTTTGTTCAGTAATTGCTCAGCAAAAAAATTTATGAAACATTTTTCCTCTCTGTGAGTTTAGAGTGTTAAAGGCATTTCCATACATTTCAGCTTTAGTGCATCAAGCATCCATTTTTCACAGTATTTTACAACTCCTAATAAATAGTTTTTATGCTTTATCAAGGTGTTAGTTATTTGTTTAGAATATTCTGAAGAACATGACAGTTAAAAAAAAAAAAAACTTCTAATCATCTTGATAAAGGTGTACTACTTTATTGAAATATAAGCTTGTTTTAGAAGTATCACTTCAAATCCAGAACAAGAAGGAAGGGAAAAAATAGAATGTTGTGATAGCTTTATATACCAGGCTGGAAAAATTTAATGCTTTTATAAGAATTGTTAGACAATAACCTATGTTTGGATAACTGCTTTTATTAAAAATACAAAAATGTGTTTTTTGCATTTATTTTTATATGTTAAATTCTTATAGAAAAAATGTCCATTATATACAGGGGGAATCTGAACAAGTAGTCAAAACTTCAGTGCGTGATAGAATGCAGCTGTGCGAACAATATTCATCAAAGATCGTGTGGTCGGAACGCAAAATATCCAGTCCAAAACCAGTCCTTGCACCCAAAGGCATTTTCTATCTTGGGTTGCCAGTTATACAAACCACAAAATTTCCAGGACTATGGATTGGTTGAGGGGGTCCTATAGCTTGGCCACCAAGATCACCAGATCTATCGTGTTTGGGCATTTTTCCTGTAGGGCCTTATGAAAAGCCTAATCTACGGGTGCCTCATTGAATCCAGTATGGATCTAATTACCAGGATTGCCTTCGCTGCCGATATTCGGGAAATGGCTGGTGTCTTCACAGATGTGCCTCAGTCCCAATTCTGCAGGTATGAAGCCTGCATTAAAGCTGGCAGAAGGTCTTTTGAGCATGTTCTGTTTATAAAATGTTTACTGTTATCTCCTCTCATTCTTATGTTAATTCTTTAAATGGGGCAGTGGAAAACTACCCTTTAACTTCTCACTGCTTGCAGTCCGACGATACATTCTATGACGAATATTGTGCATATAGTTGCCTTCTACCACCCATTAAAGTTTTGCGCACTTGTTTAAATTCATCCTATGTAAAATAAAATTCTACTGACAGATGTTTTCTTGATTTAGCGCTGTCTATTTCCAGCCTGAGCTTCACTCGTGTAAAAATTTAATTAAACGTGAAAAGGAATCCAGTGCAGTGACTTTTATTAACATTAGTGCAGGTTTAAAATTAATATTCATGATTTGCAACCAGAGTATTATAAAGAGCTTTAAAAAGTCAAAAAAAATCTGTAAATTTTTTAATCATTATTTGTGAAGTTTGCCGTGAAAATTTAGAAATACTTACAAATTAATAAAATGTGTCAAAACTGTTCCTTAAGTTCTGAGACCTCGGCAATAATGGCTGAGTGGCAAAGAATGCTGAATACTGGCAGTTCAAACTGAGGTAAACAGGCTGGCAGTAAAAATATATTTACGGGCACCCCTTGGCGATTTTTGGCGGTACATAGACACAGAGTTTGTGCAATTTTTTGACTTGTTATTTTGGCTTTGTGTAGTGGCAAAAATCGCCGTTATACAAATCCAAAATAACAAGTCAAAGAATTGCACAACCTCTGTATCCATGTACACATAATGTACACAAGTTAAATGCTTTTCACTTAAAAAAAAAATCAGAGACTTGCACAAATTAGGCATTATGCACTCTTTTAACTTTGTCCATGTGCACATTGATCTATATTTACTTTAAAACGTCAAAGGAGCAGCCAACAAAAAATAAATAATCTCAATAAACTCTTATTTTAAACAATGAAATAACATAAAGGAAATTCATTTTAGCACTACATAAAGGAAATATCCATTTACCGTATTTACAAATTTCCCTGTCTTCAGTCAAACAAAATTCCTTAACAGCATTTAAAAACTTCCTAAAATTATCTGAACTAAAATCTGTATACTGGCATCGCCACATAAACTTACAAAAATAAGAGTAAAAAATGTCTCTGACGTTTGCCAATATGCATTTCCTTCTTACAAACAGGACAGTTATAAAGGCAACTAAGTAAACCTTCATTCACACACCAGTGAATTACAGTCAAAAGTCGTTAATCCGGACTCGTCGGGACTTCGGATTCCGGATTATAGATCATCAGTTTAAATCTGGTAAGATGGCATGCAGAAATTCTAAAATTAAAAATATGAAACCGTAATTTATGAAATAAAGAACAATTATGATCTAAAGGGTATCAAAATTACAAAAAAAAAAAAAAAAAAAGGCTTAATATTTATTTGTTTACTTTATTAAACATTTCTTTCAATGTAAGTTGTTTAAGTTGCTTCGTTTATGTGATAATACTTTCTCTTTAATTCTATAAACAGACATAATTTCTTGTTCAGTTACAAAGTTCCGCTGTTCAAGTCCTATAATTGCTGTGTCGAGAATACCGACTAATTTGTCAATCGAAATTTTTTCGTTTTCAATAACCTCTGTGTCACTTTCTTCACTATCGGAAGTGAATTATAATGAGGAGGAAATTGATTTAAATCATATCAAAGACGGAGTACATCCAGATGAAATACTACATTTAGTAAGGAATTATAAGCCAAATAAAATAAAAACATCTGCCCTGAAGATAAGGATAGTGCTGACAGATCAACTTCCAATTCATTGTGTGACGTGACATTCCCCCCCCCCCAGAGTAGCGTGAAATTAATAAACAGATTTCGGAATGGTTAGAGAAACAAAGGATATGCCTTTATCCATTTTTTGCAGCAATTCCACTTTTTGTTTAATGGACTTCGAAACATACTTTCACTTTGTAGATCCTTTACATATTAGTAAATATATATCGAAAATTCTATTTGACATAATCTGAGTTCAAGCTTACTTTTATAAAATTGCTCTAACAGTCTGCAAAAAATAATAAGCCGCATCCAATTCGAAGATTAAGGAACAACACAATCTGTAACATTAACTGAATTAGATAATTTTAGCTTAGCTTACACCATCCGTTATACATTAAATGCACATGCGTAAACGTATTATGTGCATGCAAACACGCATATTCGCAGCCGTAAAGGTCTTACTCGCATGCGTCAATGCGACGCATGGGCAGAAAGTTTGTAGCTTTGAGGTCCGGATTATGGCTGTCCAAATTAACGACTTTTGACTGTAATGCTTTCTCCCCCTTTTGTTCTAAATTGTACAGAAAATTCAAATTAATCTTACAACATTCAACCATGTAAACCACAAAATAACAACCTACTTTTTATCCAAAATTTTTCCCATTATTCATATTCACCGCAGTCATGAAACCAATTACATCATTATAGGGTTTCCATAGCATTCAACTACTCAGGCTACCATAAATGAAACAACTTGGCGATAAATGAAACAACTAGTGAGCAAAGCATATTTTGTACAATTCTCTGATTTTTTTTAAGTGAAAATAGGTCGATGTGTGCATGGATAAAGTCAAGGAAGTGCGCAATGCATTTTTGTGCAGTTCTGGGATATTTTTTAAAGTGAAAATAAGTCGATGTGTACATGGATACCGAGTTTGTACAATTCTTTGACTTTGTGTTTTGTGTAGCAATGATTTTTGGCACAAAAATTGCCACTACACAAGCCAAAATAACAAGTGAAATAATTGCACAAACTTGGTATCCATGTACTGCCAAAAATCGCCAAAGGGTGCCCGTAAATATGCTTTTACCAAATGTGATTTAAATGCTTAGAATGTTTATTGTTAGTAAAAAAAAATGTAATGTTTAGTTGGATTTCAGTATTTACATCAATTTTCTTTAACAAATGAGGTACATATAAGATAAAAAATTATGTTAATCAAAATTCTAACTTCAATTCTGCAGTAGTCTGTTAACTCCCCATTTTAATTTAGTTATTTTCCCTTTGTTGTGAAAATAGTTACTACTTGTAATAGATCTCGCTGAAGTGTGTCATTTTAAAATTTATTCTCATCGCATGATAATTTAATGACAAAGGCACATAAGACTTCATCCAATAATAATTTTGAATTGAAACTTAAAATTAACCAGTCAAAATAAAGCTTATACTGAACCGAGTTTTCATCTTGCACTCGTTGCATTCATTCTCTTGTTCTGCTGCCTTCTAAGCGTACTGTCTGATGCTACACTTTTCTGTCTTCGGATGTGAAAAATGTAAAAATTTGTTAAAGAATCTGT